CGATTTCAAAAGCTGATTGATGGATTTTGGCGTGAATGCTTCGAATTTAAGATGTCAGCGAAAGATGTAATAAGCGGAGTAGGACAACTGAAGCATCACGTGCAATCAACGAACCGAACCACTCGTCAAGCAGGATACGACGTTGCTGTTAGTTTGAATGCGCCCGGTGTCGCGCCTGCTGGAGGTGGTGACGACGGCTGCATAGAGTGTTGCATACCTGGTCCACCTGGTCCAAAAGGACCACCCGGAAGACCCGGACGGCCTGGACGTCCTGGTGCACCCGGCATGCCTGGAATGCCCGGAAGACCACCACCACTGCCATGTGAACCAATCACACCACCACCATGCACTCCATGCCCACCAGGGCCACGCGGTCCACCAGGCCCACCTGGACCACCCGGAGATCCAGGATTGGATGGTGCACCAGGAAAAACGTTCCCAGTTGGAGAGATGGGACCACCAGGACCACCAGGACCGCCCGGTCCACAAGGGCCAATCGGACCATCAGGACCACAAGGTCCACCTGGACCCGACGCACCTGACGAACCATCATTACCTGGAGAGCCTGGAGAACCTGGTTAGATATAATTGCATTCCTGGCAGGTTTGCAGAAACTAGTTCTAACATTTGTTCATATAGACACATCAGTTGATTCAAATTCAAATTGTCGGCAATCAAATGCTGACATTGAATTGATTTAGATGCAGAATCATGACTAACTGAAAATTCATGAACATGCTTGCTGATGTTATGATGAGATGATTCGCATCTAGACGCGATATGAAGCGGACTTCTTGCAGGTGATCCTGGACCAAGAGGGCCTCCTGGATTGCCAGGACGGCCAGGTTTGGACGGACCACTAGGACCACCCGGGCCGAAAGGACCACAAGGACCAAGCGGTTTACCGGGTCCAAGGGGACCACCTGGACCGCTCGGACCGCCCGGTCCAGATGGAGCAAACGGTGAACGAGGCATTTGTCCGAAATATTGCGCTATTGACGGTGGTATCTTCTTTGAGGATGGCACGCGTCGCTGATCCTTGTTGAAAACATTTCATGAATATGCTGAAAAATTATTTCGAATTCAACTGAACAAATTTTATTGTATAGATGTTGTCTGCACATGCATGGACCACTCGATAAGCACCGCAAAAAAATGAATATCAAGATGTTGGGTTTCACTTCAAAAAAGTTCAGGTTCAAAAATATAGCCAAATTTTGATATTCATTTTTTGGAGCATCAAATTTGACGTCAATCTCTTTTTGTTACTTGCTCATATTCTTGAATAAATTTCTTTTTTTGAATGTGTTGTGCATTTGTCACTTCTAGTGCGCCCATCTTAATGATCGAGAGCAACTGAAATAATATTCACATGGAACAAGTGTGAATTCGAGAATGAAGTGATTTTATACATTAATATGAATGCCCTTAAAATCCAGTTATTGACGTTCTGTTATCTTTATCAACGGATTTGTACACCGCAATTTGCTATATTATTGTCCAATGGATAATTGTTTCGTTTTTTGTTTTAATGACACTTTTTGAATGATGATCATATACCGATGTGAACGATCAATCGGATTGCACGTTCTCAAGCAACACGGAAAACCATCGAATCGAGTTGATTCAATTTTGTGACATTATTTGATTGTATCGAATTTTCTTTGTTCATCAATTTCACCCACATTCTATATATCGCTGCTTCTCTCTACGGGCACAGTGCAAACTCGCTGAAGGCATTTTAAAGTTTCAGATAATCCTGTGTTGTTAGAGCGATTAATCATCAACAAGAACATCGAAAGTCATCGCTTAAAACGTTGATGTGCTTCAATAGGCTAAAAGAAAATCAACTGATAGTGTACGATGAAGCAGCATAAATATTGTTTTGAATTTTTGTGCTAATGATGTGAGATTTTGAAAAAAATAGAGAAGCAGAATCGATGGCACAGCAAAACTGGAATGAAGTATGTCGAAACGCATCAGAGATTTATTTTAACAGCATATGTACGTCGTGAACGATTCATTTTCGTCGGTTTTATGAGTGAAACGAGAATCATACGGAGAATCATGCATCCGACGTTTTCTTCATCGAAATTCGCGGGTGTGTGCAATGATAGACTCATCAAAGGGCTGCTTAGGCACTGTGCAAGGTTTTCGAATGCTTTTATATCGAATTACTATTGGCGAGTGCATAGGCGAGGTCGCTGCAATGACCAAATGAACCATGTTTTTTACGTAATTTCGAATGAAGAATTCCAAGCAGCGATCCGTTCCTGGTGGCTCCATCCATTCCTCACTGAACACTCAGTGATTAATTCATTGAACAATGACTGATAAAAATTTTCGGTACACACAATTTGTTCGAATGACAAAACTGCACCGAATGGAAGTAAATCACAATGGGATATGATTTAATGTTATCAGCGGATCATCGATCTGTCAGCAACGATTCTTTCTTTCACGGAATTCACCCAACAAAAGGCAATCAATTTGCAAAATAGAATAAATGTCACTAAAATTGGTCGAAACAATTCGATAATGAATGAATGCAAATGAGGAGGTTTACCAGTTGTGAAAAAATTTTTTGATGTATGACATTTGTGTGTCCGTCTCAGACATTCTTCATCAGCGAGAGACACAATAATGACTTGAGAAAATCCGTCAAAATATTTTTTCTATGAACTTATTTTTTGATCGATCATCGTCTCTGTTGGTGATCTGAAAATGGCAACAGGACGCGGGAGTGGCAATGCTGACATACGGATCGGATCGACTTCAGCTCGAAAAAAGAACAAAAAATGAATCAGGTTCAGTTGGTCAACTGTCGTCGAGAAGTGTGTATAAAAATGGTGAGCAAATCGTTTGTGCACATCATCTTCATCCACCAGCCAACAACCAACTACTCTCGAATATGGACTTGCAGAGCCGCCTTACGGCCTACAAGTTCGTCGCCTATTCGGCAGTTGTCTTCTCGGCCATTGCCGTTCTCTCAGTATGTATCACTCTGCCAATGGTCTACAACTACGTACACCATGTACAATTTCAGATGCAATCCAAAATCACATACTGCAAGGTTAATTTACTGCATATCTTATCATTGAAGTTATGTTCGCTCTTGAATCACTTGCATAGTTTATCCACCAAACGAGAATTTCAATTCATCATTATGGGTTCAGTGCATTGAGGGCTTTGCTAACGTCATTTAATCGTAGCATCGCATCTTTTCGGAATTTGCAAGGCTCGAAACGAGTAGTCATAATGAAAGATTGTGCTGAATGAATGAGGATATTGAATGAGTGTGATATTTCATAAACAAACGAAGAAAATGGACAAAATTTGTATGACTGATGCTGATTGAGCATTAAGCCATTTCAGGGATCTGCCAGGACTATTTGGCTTGAAGTTGGTCAACTGAAAGATATTCCAACTCCAGCTGGCAACAGAACGAAACGTCAAGTGCGCAACAGTTGTGAAGAGTGCTGCTTGCCGGGTCCTCCAGGACCAAAGGGACCACCTGGAAGACCAGGACGACCAGGAAAGCCTGGAGCACCAGGTCTGCCAGGCAAACCCGGAATGCCACCAAGACAACCATGCGAACCAATTACGCCGCCACCATGCAAGCCATGCCCACCAGGTCCACCAGGTCCAGCTGGCCCACAAGGACCACCTGGTGAGCCTGGACCAGATGGACCACCAGGTACCCCAGGTATCAACGGAGAGCCGGGAGAGCCAGGACCAATGGGACCACCCGGACCACCCGGTCTAGAAGGACCACCAGGGCCTCCAGGACCAGCCGGTCCTGATGCTCCAGATGAGGGAGTTATTCCCGGACCACCAGGAGAACCAGGTAAATTTCATTACTGCATCAAAAAATGCAGATATTGGTAAATCTTAATGGCACATATTCTCGAGTCGGATCGACTCATCGACTAATTCAATTGTAGGAGACATGGGACCACCAGGACCACCCGGACCTCCAGGCCCACCGGGTGCCCCAGGCGCACCAGGTCCGCAAGGACCACCAGGACCTCCCGGACCCGACGGACCACCAGGAGCTGATGGACAACCCGGACCTCAAGGACCTCCTGGACCCAAAGGTCCATCGGGCGAGAAAGGCATCTGTCCCAAGTATTGCGCGATCGATGGTGGTGTCTTCTTCGAGGATGGAACCCGTCGTTAAACATCTCAACGACAAACTCGATCGAGCCTTATTTCATTTAGATGAATCAATTTTAATATATTATTGTTTTATTGTATCAATAAAGTTGAGCGCAAGCTTCTGAATTTCCGCATAACTGAAGAGATTCATTCGGTCTTGTCCTGATCACTTCTCTCTGGAGTATCGTCACTGAATTAAGCACGATTACCGTTGAAGACCAAACGATCTGATTGAGACAGAAATCTCTTGTTGAAATAACCGAATTCCGAGCACAGTCATATGCGTTTATGTTTAATCCAGTTCCCAGAGACAGATAGATTTGCTGCTAGGATGAACAAAAACTTGATATCACAATCGAAATAAAAATGCACTCTTCTAAATGCCTTCGTAATAATTAACTACTGATTTTCTCAAGAAAATGCCCCTCAGCTATTCACATCAACTTTCAAGATTTTCTAAACAAGTTCTCTGGAGTCACTCTTTAATGTGAATGTAATAAACCCTTTTGAAGAGATAGGTTTGTAATTCCACTTTATTCGTGCTCATTGCGGTCGATAAAATTTTAATGTGGTTATCATGCAGAATGATTCAGTCATTGGGTTCACTGCTGTGTTCAGCTGTTTGACGCCTCATCAATTCAGAATAGAGAAGAAGTGCCAATGAAACACCTCATCTCTTCCGAATAATTTGCAAATGATAAAAACGGACCCATTCAAGATAACACGATCAAACAGTGTAATTGTAAGTTTCAAAGTAGCTTAGAAATGCAGTGAGGAACATCTGAGGCTTCAGTTCATCATCTGCAAGCAATTAACAGATGATTCCTTGATGTGATCAGTGATTACGGAACAGTTCATCAGTCTACTAAAAATATGTTTTGACATCCATTAGAATACGAATACTATGTGATTTGTATGATAATATAAATCAGATCAGCACCAAGCAATTATATAATGGCGCTAACAGATCAAATAATGCAAATGCAGATAAATTCCTTTCAAGTTTCATTTTTTAAAGTTCCTACCCAACCTAGGTGAAAAAATTGAAGTGATTAAAAGTATCGAACATTATCTGAAACATTCATGTTACTCGTTCTGGAGAGCTCGAATGATGGAGCATGTATGAACCTCTTTTGCATGAACTGAATCAATATAATGTGACTGACTCCTGCTGTATGTGAAAGCACAAGTAGTATAATTCCGAATTTGCAATCAGAGGATTTCGATGCTTTCAATTTCGAAAGAGTTCTTTGATTTGAGCTGTCTCCATGCATTGCGGAAGTTCTAGAAATATGTCATCTCATCAGTACCATCTAGCTCATGACGTATTGATTGAATCGATGGAATCACTTTTGCCCGCCTCAAGCCAGTTTGCTTCATTTTAATAAAGCTGAAACTGATGTTCACTTAATAGAATTTTGACTTTCAGTGCTGTCATTTCACTCACTGTTTCCATCATTACGTGAACAGACGAAATATCTTTAAAGGCATTCGCATAATTTTGGTTGAAAATAAAAGTAAAGTGAAATGTCAATATTTTTCGATTTTTTGTCTCCGAGTTTCCCATCGAGCATTCACTTTCATCTGAAAAAAAANAAAAAAAAGAATTTTTAGGTCACCAAGTATATCATCAGCGCATCATCGGAAAATGACACAAAGCGATATTTGACTTAGCGAACATCAAAGCAAAACATAATAACAGCGATGAAAACAAATCCAGTAAAGTCGTTCGTTTCTAATGCAGTTTAGTAATCGAATTTACTATTCAATTATCGTAAATTCAAGCAAAAAATCTGATGGACATTTCCTGAAGAAATTTTTGTGGTTTGCTGGCATGAGAAGTGATCACAACTGTTCAGACAGATCATTTATAATGGAACGGATAATGAAAAATCGAAAAAAGTTAATTTATGAAACACAAAGGATTCCATGTGAAGATTCGATTGCAAAGCCTAATTTGGTATGAAATGGTCAGGGGAACAAAGAAACGGCACTCGTTACGCAATGGATGTCGATTGCCGGGTCACCGTTATAAAATCGTCATGCAATAGTGATTTGCATTGTTCGGTGCTGCATGACGATCAGTGATGCATCTCGAGAGTCGCATCAACGCTTATCGGATCGTTGCCCACACAACGCTAACATTCTCTGTTGTTGGCATCCTATCGGTGTGTGTTGTTTTTCCAATGCTCCAAAACCAAATCCATCAGATGGAATCGTCAATGCGAGCGCAAATTGAGTTCTGTGTGGTAGGTTGACCACTCTTACTTGATTCTAGCACCTCGCCGTTGATCAATTATAGATCATTTCGCATAAACGTGAATGAAGCGGCGAAATATTTCGACTTTTCAACGTGAAAAATGCACAGTATCTCTTGTTGTGAAGCATAATAAAAGTTTGAAACTGCTGCAATGATTGAAGCTAACAGTATCGATGTTGCCAGTTAGCATGATCAAGTTTGATGTTCAGAGTTCTGCTAAAAATATTTGGGTCGATGTTGACGAGCTTAGCGAGGTTGCGAGGGCATCAAGGAACAGAACAGTGCGTCAAGTAGACAGTAGTTGTTCGGTTTGTTGCAGACCGGGTCCACGGGGACCGCAAGGTCCACGAGGAAAACCCGGAAAGCCGGGCAAACAAGGTGCCCCAGGCGTTCCGGGCCGTCCCGGAAAATCACTGAATCTTTCATGTGCAGAAATAGCTCCGCCAAAATGTGGATTATGCGCACCGAATCCACGCGGTCCACCAGGTCCTCGAGGGCCCACAGGTGATCCTGGACCAGATGGACCTCAAGGAAAACCAGGACCTGACGGAGCGGCAGGACAGCCAGGAGCGAAGGGACCAATGGGCCCTCCTGGACAGCCAGGACCGTCCGGACCAACAGGTGACCCTGGTCAGGATGCGCCATACGAGCCAATTGAACCTGGAGAGCCAGGTGAACCAGGTGTGTTCAGTCAACTGAATCTGATCTGTTAGAAAGTTTCTACTCCGAACAGAATGCGGTGTGCCAAAAGATCGATGAATGAATGTGGTGAAATTGGTTTCAAACATTTTCCAGTTTTGTGTGTGCATTTTTTCCACTGTTTCTGATAAATTTGGTGAAATTCAATGAGAACGAACAATTAATGAGATACATAAAAATCAGGTAAGTAGGGAAACTGATAAATTCACGCGAATGTTCTTGCAATCAACGTTTAAGGTGAACCGGGACCACCAGGACCACCAGGTCTACCAGGAAAACCAGGTGCTGATGGCGCGCTTGGACCAGCTGGACCAAAAGGTCCCACTGGACCGATCGGAGCGGCCGGACCAGATGGACGACCTGGAGCTCGTGGACCCCAAGGTAGACCGGGAACACCCGGTGAACCCGGTATTTGCCCGAGATATTGCGCAATCGACGGTGGTGTAATCTTCGCGGATGGTACCCGACGCTAAGCGAAATGTAATTGAATCAATGCTTTATCGGAAACGAGGCGAATGCAACGATAAAATTGCTCATTCAAATCCGCTCCAACATACCAAAAACTGCTATTCAATGCATTTAATAGATAACTTACCACCTGTAAATTATCACCTGTGAATATTCGTTAAAGAGACTTTGTACTATATTTGTATCATTTCTATGTTTGTTCATCACCATCATTATGAAGTTTACAAGATTCAGTCAAAGCAGTCAAACCCTTGTAGTAGTTGATAAAATGTCGTTGAAATGTGTTAGCAGCCCATATGAAGCAATCATTAGTAATATTCATATTATTATTGCACTCTGATCTTATTGTGGTGTAAATGAATTGTTTTACAATGATTCTCACATAGTTCACTCTTACAGATTTCACGATTTCATAATGTACATCTTGTTCATAATGTACATTTCATAGTGTTGTTTGCTTGCTTGTTTACATGAATTGTATGCACGTTTAAAGTCGAATAAAGATTTCAATTTCTGCAGGCTCACGAAAGCAACAATAAGTCTGCCCTCAGCTAGCCTCAGTATCAGGATCCACATCATATCTGAACAAATTCCGGTGATAAAGGTTGACTGTTCGCAAAAAAATTTTTTTTCAGCGCATTATTCACAGATTTTTCACGGCATTTTTTTGGCAAAAAAACTGAAGAATTTCGATAGTGTCTGAATTGAAATGAGTTCACTGGGTCATTACGGGAATGTTATATCGTCATTTAGTTCTGGAGTCGGACGGAAGATTCTTGCATACAACAGAATCATCCTAAAAAAACCAATCCTTCTATGAAAAATAACTTCAAACAGGCGAGATACAATCGTTCGAGACCAATTCCACTCAAAATGCTCGTTTGAATGAATTCGATCTACTGACTAAATGGCCTTGATCAAATATTAATCACAGAATTCTTGATGCTACAATTCGAGTGCAACCATTTCAATGATCACCTTGTTGTTGAGATCAGTCAATTTCTTTACAATTTGTCTTTACAATCAGCTATCACGAGCATGAAACTTATCTCAGCACCGCAAATCAGTCCGTGTTCGCTACACAAAGAAAACTGAAGAATTCAACTTACGCTAGACAAAAAAAATCATGCTATCGACCACATTTCAGAATTGAATTCGCATGATGGCACTGTCATTTGCAAAAATTTATGTAATAATTTCATGAGTTGTTTTATTCAAATTTATAGATTTTTCAAATATGAATAGCGTTTTTTGCAAGTGATAAATTATGTTACGTGCAAATAAACATAAAACCCGACACAAGTAAATATCACGAGATGAATGATAATGACTGCACTACAACGCATCAATTCACGAGTCACGATTCATAATGCCCGAACCTATTTTCTTCTTTCCACTGTTCATTGCTTTGCAAAAAAAAGCCGTCTATGAGATCATCGTAAGGAGTTGTTTCAATGGTGATGAGAGGGGCAATAAACGAACGCAATGTACATTCGAAGGGATACTAACAATCGAGGGAATTATCCAATCGTGAAAATATTCTGCAATTAGCTGTGTGACGAGCGTGCAACATTGCAGTCCGTTGCCATACTTTCCACACACTTTATGACACTTTCTCAAATGTTCTCAACAAGCACTTCAATGGTCCAATAAAAACCACAATAAACCAATATTTCCACGAGAAATTGGAGTAATCTATCACTGAGAACACTCGAAACCGCAAAAAATAGAGAAAATTACGCCTAATATACCATGCATCCTTCACTATATCTATTGATACTGTTAAGAGTGTCGCGTGAAGAATATTGATACGATGATTGCGGTGTCAATGTCGACATAGTCACCAGTATTATTATGATTATTATTGAGATTTAACTGGTGCCTAGATCCGTCATTCCTCAAAAAAACACTGACAGATCACATTAATTTGTCTGGCACAATGAAATCCATTGTTTCAGATAAATCAGCCGAATGGAACTGAAGTGACTCTATAAAAATAGCAGCAATCTATCTCACCTATGCTAGGCTAGGAGNTCGGATTTGTTGCGTTATTTCGCCGACTCGATCCAATCCACAGTAAGATAGCAGTGATTTAAGGTGGTCTGGACTGGTGTGGAGATGGATTTGCAGAATCGGATTAAAGCGTATAAGATTGTCGCCTATTCAGCAGTTATATTCTCGGCAGTTGCTATTTTATCAATATGTTTAACGTTGCCAATGGTCTACAATTACGTGCAGCATGTACGGAAAACTATACAAAGACAGATCACGTTTTGTAAGGTTTGTTTTTTGGACGTTACTGCTCACAAAACCGCTGTGAAATAGTCTATGAGTGATCATTGCTTCTGTTGTGCGCATGGAATTGTCTGTTGGGTGGTATGAGAATGAATGAATGATTTTCTGAAGGTGCACGTAGAACTGAAAAGAGCCTCGGAACTGTAAGATTTATGATAACAGCAGTTGACATTGATGTATTAGTGAAAAACGTTTTTTGGTGCTCTTCAAATTACTGCGTTAAGATGGGAAATCCTGTTGAATTAGTACAGAATTATTTTTTGGATTCATTGAAAGAAAAAGATCACACGAATCATTTCAGCATATTTAATGATTGTGGCAATTGTCCATCCAATAGATGACATTGATGTGTTTTGTGGATGATTCGTGCTGACATGTGCCTAATGTTTATGTCAGTTGGAAATTTTTATTTGAACATTTCTTCAGACGATTTGGAACATTTTTGACAATTTAGATTGCAAAACCGGTACAGAAATTGAACCTTGAGGTTCCTTCATCGATGGAACGCTTTTTTGCTGGGGCCTGGATCGAGAGAGGCATTTTTTCATTGACAACACAATTTAGATAATTTCATTGACTAATTCTGTACTGTTGCACGAAAAATATTCAGTTTTGTTGCATTATCCATCGACTTTAGACGTCAGCAAAGAGCATTTGGGAAGAGGTTGGGCAACTGAAGGAGATAAACACTGCAAAAAATCGAACAGCTCGTCGAGCAACAAATATGTGCCAGGCATGTTGCTTTCCGGGCCCGCCGGGGCCAAAAGGACCTCCGGGAAAGCCTGGACGACCCGGAACACCTGGAGTGCCCGGTCATCCAGGGCATCCAGGACGACCGCCAAGTGAACCGTGTGAACCGCTCACTCCACCACCATGCAAACCATGTCCGCCCGGGCCAGCCGGTCCACCTGGCCCACAGGGACCTCCTGGCGATTGTGGCCCAGACGGACTACCAGGAGCACCAGGTACGGAAGGACCTCCCGGTGAAGCAGGACCGAAAGGACCTGATGGACCACCCGGACCAATAGGACCACCTGGACCACAAGGAGAGCCGGGTTCAGATGCACCAAATGAACCGATCTTACCCGCCGAACTGGGTGAACGAGGTGAGTTCAATACATTGCTAATTCTCTTTGCAGGGATTATTGTTGTTGATTCTGCACAGGTGGACTTTTTTGCGGATTTGCATTATGCGTACATGATGTGAGTTCAGTGGTTTGCACTGCACTCTTCGGAAATCAAGGAGTTCATATGGATTTGCAAGCACAATAAATGAGCAGTCTAAAATCAAAAATAGAGAAGTTTTCGATTGCATACACCAACTAATAGGATTTGTGCTCTGATCATGTTCTTTGCACTTGCAATTTTTCATTGAAAAATTATCACATTCTGTTCAATGCTTCGCTTGTGCATGATCTATAAATACTTCAACTGCAATGTGAAGTTCCGTTCTAATTTCACTTCTTACTGTTACACAAGATTAAATCGGATTCCAAAAGTGACCTCAAGAAGCCATCGCATACTCAGCGTTTTGCTTTCACAGATGCAACCTTTAATTTATTTTTTCAAATTGATTTTATGAATCTCAACCAGTTGAATAATACTGTCCGTTGCAGGTGAACCAGGACCTCAAGGACCAGTGGGTCCTCGTGGAAAACCAGGTGAAGATGGCCCACCGGGACCACCTGGACCTGAAGGACCGTCCGGCGCGGATGGACCACCAGGACCAGACGGCAAACCAGGCCCTGTTGGACCTCCTGGTGAAAAGGGAAGTGACGGCGAAATAGGTGTTTGTCCGAAATATTGTGCGATCGATGGTGGTGTATTCTTTGAGGATGGCACGAGGCGTTAACGTTAAGCATGACCAAATCTATAATGCTTTGCCCGTTATCAGTTATGCTGGGCCTTTTTGTAGATAATACGGTGAATTTCTGATGATATCCTGCTAAGAAATTTTAGATATATTTTATGATTAAGGTGTACAGAGTAATATACAAACTTTTTGAGGTTTGCTCGTGAATATTATGTAACAGATTCTTGTAAAATTGTGATAAACGTGCTGTGCAATATTGATAAACAATGCTTTCATTCTTTTCCTTGCTGTTACAATCGCTCTCATAGCTTTTATCACCAGAAGAGTTCTCTTCTGCTAATTTCTCATTCAATTCACTCAACAATTAAAGTCAAATTCTCATTCTATCAAATACACTCTTTAACTGATCATTTGACTGTCGAATATTGTTGAGCAATAATATTCGATTGTTGTATCGTTAATTTCGGCTGTCAACACTCGTCAACGTATCCCGTAAAGAGTATATGCTACAGAATGAGAAGTTGATTCGAACTGTGAAATGAAATTGAGACGAAGTGAATGATAAAAACAAATCAATAGAACGATATTCGCATGTGATAGCTATGAGAGCGAATACAACACGTCTGAAAAGAATGAGAATCCATGCAAAACAGTTTGAAGTGAGCATGTGATAGACAAGAGCTTTTCATGCAATCATAATCGACTGCAATACTGAGCACATAAGTGATAGAGGTAATGGAGCACGCGAACATGAGAACCGCTGGTTTAGACATTATCCAAACCTGCGAACAATCTCAGCATTCAGAATCATGCTCAGTTCATATAAACAACTACCAGCGAGATGCTTGCTGACATTTTGGTTGGGTCGTTTCGATCTTGACCTATGCGGTTACGTATGATTAGTAATGCACAATCAAAGAAGAATTTTTTGAAAAATCCCACGGTTTAGATTTTTAGTTTGTTGATGAGTTTTTTCAATTGTTTCCTATACAAGTCTTCAAGTTTCAGTCTCAGAAAATGTCCGCAGTAACACATTACTGTGTCTGATTTTAACCGGAAGAAGAGTGCAAGAAAATCAACGAATCAAAATTGTTATTATAATTTGAGCGATTGTCTTTAATTGAGTCTTTTGCTGCAAATTTTCGTGAAACGCTCCCAATTTAGCGTTCAGCGAATCAATTCGAAGCGCATAATCGATCATCAGATCACCCACAAAATTAGACGATAATTCAGTTCACTTCCCACTGAAATGATAAAACTCGTTAGCGTACCGATCATTTCTTTGCCGTGCGATGAACTTTTTTGTGCGCAGTAATTTTGTTTCTTTTTNTTTTTGACATTTTTGCTGCTGTTGTATAAAATTTCACAAATTTACGGTATTGACGAATAAATAAACATTGCAATAGTCATCAACCGTGGAGTTACAAATAGAGACTATCATTCGTTTCTGGTTCCACCTAATATTCCATTTCACTTATTCTCGACTTGTGACTGGAAGGGCATTTATCTATCCGTGGAACTCGTTTGCCGTTAAAACCTAACACTGCAGTTTTTTCGTTGAATTTTTTGTGATATTCCCGATCTCTCGGTTGTAATTTATGCACGCAACTCATGCAAGTATAATATAGAAATACATATTGGTGCAGATACAAGTTATTGTTGCCGGTTAACTATATTAATGGTTTGAATACATGACTCGAAATTGCTAATGTAGCTTGAGCTGAACATCGTTTGATCACAACATCGGAGCAAATTTATTAGGTTCGATGATATCGGCCAGCAACATTCTCGTTTTGCTTATATTACGAGTCACGGTTAACTGGTTGTTCAGCGATTTACGAAATGAATGGGGAAAAAACTTACAATTAGTGCACGGATGGTATGAAGCGTTCGGTCGAAATTGTATGACCTAAATTTTCAATAATTGAATTAAGGCACTTGTATATTAACTCTTCTTTCCGATAACGAGTTACTCTGATCCTTTTTTCTGGTATTTCAATGACACTAGTGAATTTTTTACGATCTTCACTCAAACAACTTCATAGTTGAACACATCAAAAAGGTTAACAGAAAACATTTTGTTAGTTACTCGATTCAATATAACCGGCTAAAAGAACACAAATATTCTTCCAGAGAACGGACAATATTACGAGATAACGCTGCTTCTTGAGATGTGAACCTCGTTGCCACCGTGAATTAATATAAGTTGATGAGATCGTAGCCGTAGGATCATATGAATCAAAATTGTGAATGCGGCTTGAGCTGAACAAAATTTGAGAGCAATTGTACACTCTTACAGCGGGAAAATGATAGCTCTGACTGATGATTTCCAAAGTATTATTTGAGTCACTGAATCGTCCTTCTGCACATTTGCAGGTTTTTGCATTTTCTGAAATTTTGTCATCGAATTGAATGAACTTGTTGCTTGTTCGTTTCCATAGTGGAATGAAATGGAATTATTAAAAAACAACAATTGAGTCCACTTTTCAACTCGTCTGAACGATCACTAGTTGGAACCGCTTCATTTCCATTCATGAACGAGGAGTTTTGCGGTGTTGCTAATTCCCGGTTCCACGAACAAATGCATTGATTTTTTAGTGATTGTTATCGAGTTCAGGTTTTCAAGATTTAATGTTGCACTCAGCTGCACATCTTCAAGAGCAAGCAAAAACACTCCAACAAGTTCCACAAGCAATAATCGAATCAAAAAGCAATCAGTTGTGTGCGCAAAAGCTAGCGCTCTTTGATTTGAATAGTATACCTGTGATCAGCATTTTCGAATGAATTTTAAATTTTTTGTCCATTTCAAGTACGAGATGAACAAAAAATTTGAAATAGCAAACCTCTCAACTCATTTTTTTGCACATAACTTTTTTCATTGTATGGTTGATTTCACAGCTGGGTGCTGCAGTTAAGATAAAAATGATGATGATCGTTACCTTCATGATGAAGGTGATGAAAAGAATTCCTTGAGGACTCAGCAAGAAATTAACCAAAAAAGCGTAGCATAAAAGCAATCGTGAAATACCGGAAAAAAACACCTCAACAGTTTCTTCGATAAAAACTCAAGCGAAACTGAAAGCAAGGTGAAATTAACATTTTCAGCTCGCATTTTGTGTTCTCTTGGTAAGTCGAAATGCCTGCAGTCATTCAATTTCTACAAATGCCAATGATCACCGAATGAATCACTTGCATTGTATTCTTATTTTTTCAAGCGGAGCAAAAAAACGGATCATTCGAAATTGATGCATATTGACATCGCAAAAATTTCTTCGTTCAAGCTTGCATGATTGATTTGTGTTGACAAATTCAATTTCTATACGGAAACTAGAGGATGTGCTGTTCCAATGCAATGTCTTGTGTATACAATGATTTCTCATCACATTGACAATGCTCACAATCCACTTGAATAAATTAGATCAGTAGAATATGATTTGAAATAAGTTGAACCGAAAAAAAATAATAATACTAATCATGTTTTGATATTATGCGACTGGTGGGTTTCAAGATGGATTGAAAAACCTCACAGCAGCAGAGCGAGTCTCTCCTTCCGTTTTTACAGATTTCAATTTTTTTTTCAAAATCTTAAAGCAATTAATTCAACGTTCGTCTGCATAGCGCCACTCGAATAGCGTATGACTGAATCAAGTTGAAGCTTTTTCTATCGTAAAGCTAGTCCTGTCGAGAAAACTCTCTTGATATGAATGTGAGAGCAAATGATTCGAAAAAAAAAAGAACTCCAGTTCAAATCAGATTCAGTAAAGTGTGACATACCACCAGCCAATCGTCAACGTTGGTTAATTTCTTTCAGTGGTATTGAAGGGGGGAGAAATTACGCAAAAATAATCACCGTTTTTGCTTGTGCGTGATTGATTGATGTCTTTTTGTTGGTACCGATTCGGCAAGCAGAACAACTTTTTCAGTGATTCCTTTCAGCAGCAAACAATTTGAACTTTTTCGTTTGTAAAACAAACCGTCCAAGTGATTTTTTTTCGCTCGCAAACTCAGCAGTTTAATTGTAAAGTACAGTCAGCCATCGAGAAGGAACCGTTTCAATGATAACTTAACATCTCTTGCGATTATCACCTTGAACAATTGAATCTATCGTGATGAAGAAACATTTTTGTCGGAAAGAATCTTTCAGTGCGGCTTTTTGCATTACGAATGACACTTCGTCGCTGCATCACTTCGAGACTTGAACAATTTCAAAGAGATTGTAGTGGAACTGTTACAGTATTGTAATTGGGACAGAAATATTGGATGCATCAGCTAGTTCACATGGATTATTATTTCGCATTCAGAGAATGCGTTATCGAATTTGTTGTGACCAAAGGCGAGCAAAATTGTTCATCAGCATTTGATCAAATCACCGATTAAGACCGCAATCGGAAAGTGCCAGCAGCATCAGCGACACCAAGTCGACTCAGAATCGAACACTATTCATGAGGTAATCTATAAATTAAGGTTCGCTCCACGTAGGCTACAACTTTGCTTGCAACATGAACAGTCTATTCTGTGAGTACCTGTGTGAGGCTTCAAGATGGATGGTCTTTATCAACGCTTTATCGAATCGCAGGCGCCAAAATGTTTGATCTCAACACCTGTCAAGGATACACAGTGCATAGTCTCAAATTTTCGTTAATATCGAAAAGATCTCAAGACTCTTCACAAAAATACAAGACCACGATCAACTTAATATTGCAATTTTTCACTCACCATGTGATGAGTTTTCACGTGAATCTCTTTATCTTCGCGAAACCACTTCTCAAGCTTGCTACCCGTTTTCTTCCATCTCATTATAATTAAGCCAAACCGCTTTACCAGTTTGCAGCAAACGATTCTAGTAGAGTGCCAACCAACTACAAGCATTTTCACGCACCATTTACTGTCGTCACTATCATAATTGGATATTTGCTATGAGTAGCTGCTGCGATGAACCAGTTTCGATTAAGACTTTTCGAAAAAATGCACAAAATTCCGAACAGATGTTAAGGAAAGTATGTATTTATTTGTCACTTGATGAGAGAAGCAAAAACGAGAAAAGGATTGGTGAATAAATTGTATATTTATGGCGTCGTCATCTAAGTGGAACGGTGGTTGTAGGTGGACATGAGAACGTTAATGATCATGTTAACTGTTGCCTTTTGTATTTTGCATTCAGTTTTGCAACTAACTGCTTCACTTCAAGAGCATCATCGCTTCGAGTGCACCTAAAGTGTACTCAATCATTTCAGACAGGCAATTGCAAGATGAACCAACAAGACGACGACATGTGCTCAAAAATACCGACAGATTTATTTGCACACGCTCGGCATTTATAGGTTAGATGTGCTGTTGAAATGCAATGGTGTAAAAGAAAATTTTAAAAAATTACCCGAGATAAGTAAGGTTATGCTGCTGTGAAGTAAAGTGTGATGAATAAATTGTCAGTTGTTGTGACAATTGAGAAAGCAATACATAATGGGTGACAATTAACGAGAAATTAATTGTTTTGTGCGATTTTTTGTTCACTGAAAGAATCAATTTTATTACAACGCGTAATGTGAATGCGGTAATAAAGTATAAACTTTTTATCGTCTTTTGAATGAATGAATTTACCGAAATGCAATTAACGAGACAATATGCTTGGTTGGTTGGTTGGTTGCAAGCAAAACACTCTTGATAAGGCATGGCTGATTCTTTTACCTATCGGGTTGAGTTTTTTACACATTGTTTAAACTAAGTTGCTTTAAATCATCGCGATGATATGTGACGACGGTTCTGATGCAATGCAGCTCCGTTTCAACTGCTGAATACTGTTACAATTGCCGGGGAAGACCTTCGAGAGGCATTGAAATTGAAACACACTCGTCGGATATGAATAACCGTGATAGAACTCATCCAATCAGGATGAGCGCTTTCTGTCAACAAATGTCTTTGAATTCTATCACTACGATCAATTTACTTTCTATGATTTGTGTTGAAAAATAAGCGAAAAAATTCGTCTGTTTCCGAATTTTCGTTGACATATATTTTTGTTCGCATTATCTGCATCGTATATTCACGCTCACGACATAATTCACATTTGGGATAACAGACGAGAGTGATTTCATTGTAGTATTACAATTTCTNAACCAAACACTTTTAACTCACGAATCGTCTGCATCCGAAATACTGATGAATGCTGTGCTATAACCAATTCTGAGTGTAATTTTGACAAAAAAAAAGCAAAACTTTTGGAAATTATACGACTGAATAAATCTGAAGCATTTAATTGTACTAACAATAAATGGAATTACACTAACAATAAATGGAGACATACTAACGATAAATTATACGACTGAATAAATTTGAATGTATTCGATTGCAAAACGTCGCAGATAGTTTTCCTGTCCTGTTGCAAATTTAATTTTGTGTTTGTCAATGCGCACGCACATCATTAGAATTGTTTTATTCCTTTCTTTTTCCATTATTTTTATTATCACATCCCAACATCCATTAAACAACAACACACACAAATGCGTACCTCCGAAACGAGAAAGAAATTCGTTGGAAATTCAAAAAATTCAATCTGATGAATTCTTCGCACTGCTTCGCCATGACTGCATTCAAAACAACCACAACACAGAATCTCGCACCAACTCACCGTCAAAAAAAGTATTCCTGATCACCAAATGTCACTGTTATTATCACAATCACCACATTACCACCAAATTATTTCCCATCCTCACCGACGTCAAATTTTTGGATATGAGAGTGGAACGACGAAGACGTTACGGTGCAACTCAAATCGAAACACAAAACATGCATCATAACAAAACCTGTGCTCATTTTTCTGTCTTCCGCTAACAGATTCAAGTAGTACATGCCACAATGAAGGCACACGTACGACAGATAAATTCCCATGTAATAAAAACAGATCATTCATCAAAGCCTTTAAACTAGACAACACCATCAGTGGATTTGTAGGAGAGTGCATGACGATGAATTAATTGAATAGCGATTTTTCTCGTGGAACAAAAACCATATCATTAATTTGTTTCATTTTACCCGAATCATCTGATTGACATTCAATAATTACAATGCAGTTGCAATCACCTGCTTTCGATTAATTCACTTGTTCAGTTCAGTTTTCTTGCAGAACAAGAAATGTTTCTTGTGAGTGAGCAGATAGACTTTCTGGCGTTTCAACACCGACACAGTTTAAGCTGTTGTCCCAGTTAGGTGATGAATCTGATCATCTCCACTGTTAGAGATCAAAAATTTTTGGCCAATTCATTTGGATCACTTGTTTTTGTTTATGATGGAGCTTTACCGCTATGAACTTCAACTAAATTTCTTCATATACATGATGAGAGCAGTTCAGATATCAATTCGGAGAGATTAATGCATGAATGTTAAATAGGAAGTGAACGAAACATCAAATGCTTGACTTTACTCAAAACGTCCAAATAATTCCGCATGTGGTATTCTCAGAAGCAATCGTTGTTACTTTAATAACAGCGACGATCATAATTGATCAGTTCACAGCACGCACTCAAAAGTCTGTCTCATTTGCGACTCAACTGTTAATGCATAGAGTTATTTCCTTGCAAGATTCCTATGATAGGTAAGACGAAACCCACTTTTATAATTTCCATAATAATAATTATAATAATCTTATTCAAAGATGCACACAGGCAAATTAATTCATTTTAATGTTGCTCCAAAAGTAAATATTCGCGATGAACACGAATTATTTGAATGTTTAGGCCTACTTTACACCAAAAAACTGATGGAAACATCAAGTGAATGAATCGATGATGAGTTTTAAATTGATTTGTTGATTTCAACTTCGAACAATCAAAATTTCGATTACTCGCTCGATAACTCTATAATCACACACGCAATAATCACTTCAATCATTCGATTTTTGATTTACGTGAGTCGATCAAATTGGGCTCGGTAAAGTCTTCGCAGCGCAACCAACAAAAAGTTTTTTTCAAAAAAGCGCTCATTTGAAAGCACTTTTATCGGCAACGCAAATAATAGAGGACGACCTTATAAGAAAATTCATCCATTCAGCTAACGCCATTTTCGTCAGCAAAACCGGCATGAAACCACGATGCGTGTGCTCTTCCAGAAGCATGCTGAGACAGCTCACATTGATTCCATAAATTGTACCATTCTCAAATCATCAACAAGGACTCAAATTACCAACAGATGCTAAAATCACTAATCAGTAAACGTCAACACCTTTCAAATTTTCTTCGAGGTCAAGCATTCTCATGCACGTTTCATGTAACCGAGTGAATGAATTTCGATATTCTTAGTTCTAAGGCCTTAATCCTTGTATCAGCAGCAGCTATAATTCTTGACTGTAATTGAATGAATTGATGCTGAGAGCAGCCAAAGTATTTCCGAAAGTGAATTTTCAGTGCGTTTACACTAGAATCAAAAAATACATGCATTCGATCTGAACAAGGAAATAATAAGTGAATTGCATTTAAGAAACGTATGAAAATTTTGATATTCACTTAAGCAGCCAGCATTCATCAAAAAACAGGAAAACGATAGAAAGGGAAATGAAAATGGACGAATTTCCATTAATTGATATTGTGATAGATTGGCAAAAAAAGAAAAACTTGCGCAATTAATTGATGATTTATGCATTATTATAATTAAGATGTGGAGAAAAAGAACAAGTAATTAAGTATGGTAAAAAGATAAAATCTACAAAATGTACAATAGTAGGGAATTAGTCGGAATAGTTTTGTATGCATGTGATTGAGGAAATTGTTCATTGCATCGTTTCTTTTGCTGGTGGATTTAAAACGAAAGTAATGATGAAAATGAAAAGTTTTTACATCGTTTGTTTTTCCTTCTTCTTCTCAGAATGTTTTTCGTTTCCAGTCCTATTCGCCGTTCCTCTCTAGCGAGGTTTCACTTCGTTCCTTTTGCAGTCTCAACCATCGAAACACTGAAGCATCGTGCACCTCTATCACCAGCGTTTTTCCTGCTCTCTACAATACTAATATTCCAAAAAATGTGTGTTCAACTAAACAACGTCAGATTAATGATGGTGGTACGGTAAAAAAGAACGACGGTCCGCCCGTTGACGGTCACAGCGGCACCTGACCGCACCCTTCCTTCTAGCGACAAGCCTCCTCCCTATTTGCAAGTGAACTGCTGCTACGACTATATAAGAGCGACGGAATCGAGTGATCATCAGTTCGACGACCATCATTCGAAATGGATTTGGATAGCCGAATAAAGGCTTATAAGTTTGTCGCCTATTCGGCGGTCTCCTTCTCAGTAGTTGCCGTCCTTTCGGTATGTGTTACACTACCGATGGTCTACAACTACGTTCACCATGTGCAACGCACGATGCACACTCAGATCAATTTCTGCAGGGTACGTTCCATGTTATTCACATTTATCTGTATTCCATCTCGAGTTTGTCTTGAGTGATGATCACCTGACATCTATTTGTATGCGATCGTTTGTTCGACTTCCGCATCAAGTCAGAGCTTCTTTGTGTGCTGATCATTGCTTGCTTTCCAGACGGATTATTAGATGAGTTGTCACAGTTGAGCATAATCGGAATGTTGTTTACGATAGCATTTCTTGAGCAGTCGTTTTCTAAAAATAGATATTTTTATTTGTTGAGTGGCCTCTTATTTTCGATAGTAACTCAGTGTTTCTTGTTTCAAAAATAAAACTTCATTGAACTAATAAGTTGTTTTTTTCTTACTCTAATGCATTGTTCTAATTTTTTGGAATGACGAATAAGCTGTAGGGAATTCGCGGAAATGAACTATATCGATGTTTTTCTCAAGTAATACCTCAGATGGTTTGTTAGTAATATCTTCGGAATTCTTCATTTTTCTTGCGATTCTAGTCAATGAGATTCTCATTCATGTATCTTCCATTTGCATTGAAATCCACTATCTCACACTGATTACTTTCGACCTGCCCTTCCTTCCTCTCATGCGAAGTAATCATCTTAATTGATCTAACTGAGCCAAACAATCCGAGATTCTTTTTCGAAGTTTTCAAATTGTCACTGAATTCGAGAGAATGTTCGATTAGTGACACGTAAGATCAAGCCAAACTTTCTGTATTTGTTCCATAGGTTGAATCAGTTCGCGTGATAAAATCTTGCTTTTGAACTCTGATATTCTCCAATATTCGAAGAATATTCGTTCGAAAATTCCTCAAAACACGCAATGTCCCATTCATCAAAACATTTTCAGAAGTAAAATTGAGTGTGTTCATCGAAGTTAATCGTCGCCATATGTTGCGAAACGTTCCACATAGTTGATCAAATGTAAAATTGAATTAGTGGAAAAGTTTAACGAGCGAAATGAATGCATCACTCATTCATCTGTTGTGTGATGCATGCACACTCAATGCGTTTAAATTAAAACAAATTCAGTCATGCTGTTTTGTGTGATTGTTGACAATGAGTGAGATTCTCCCAGTAAATTGTTGACGGCAAATACAAATGGGGTAGAAAATGTTCGGATTTGTATGGCGAATGTGACAAAACTGAAGTGATCGAAGGCGCTGATGATGAGCTGTTTAGTTTGATGTCATTTTTTGAGGATCGGCAATGAGAAGAACCAGTTTGAAAGAATTTATTTGGAAATATGACTAGTAGTTGAACACTTGATTTCGTTTACTTGTCAAGTCAGACATGAATATTTATCGCAAATGAAATAGCGATAAGTTCAAACAGTAATCCGGCTATACAACAAGTCTGACCGTAATGAAAGGATGAGATTCATGTCTGTGCAATAACGATATTCGTTGTTTCAGGGATCTGCCAAAGACATCTGGTCAGAGGTTGGTTACTTGAAAAAGATCCCAGTCCCCAGCCACAACCGAACAGCCCGTCAAGCCAACGGATGCGAAGCTTGCTGTCTCCCAGGTCCACCAGGTCCCAAGGGTCCACCTGGCAANCCAGGCAGACCAGGAAAACCAGGAGCACCAGGTCTTCCAGGTAACCCAGGAAGACCACCAAGCCAACCATGTGAGCCGGTCACACCACCACCATGCAAACCATGCCCACCAGGACCACCAGGCCCACCAGGACCACCAGGAGCACCTGGAGACCCAGGACCAGACGGACCACCAGGCAAGCCAGGAATGGGCGGTGCTCCAGGCGAACCAGGACCAAAAGGACCACCCGGACCACCCGGACCACCAGGACCACCAGGACCACCTGGACCTCCAGGACCAGATGCCGCCGGAGGTGTTGTCCAACCCGGAGAGCCAGGAGAGCCAGGTACACATTCAAGTCATACTCCAATCACCGACTACCCTCGAATTGATCATTCAGTGATCAAAATTCAGTGTCGGAAGCATCTACGATAAATTCAATCAGCAAGAAACCTGTTTTACCACCAACATGCTCAGTCACTTGTTCAATTTCATGCGTTTGTCGATTTCAGGAGACCCAGGACCACCCGGACCACCAGGACCACCTGGACTTCCAGGAGCCGATGGACCACCAGGACCACCAGGACCAAAGGGACCAGCCGGACCACCAGGCCCACCCGGACCACCAGGACCACCAGGCCCACCAGGAGCACCAGGACTTGCGGGAGCACCAGGCGAGAAGGGTATTTGCCCGAAATATTGCGCTATCGATGGTGGTGTCTTCTTCGAAGATGGCACTCGACGTTAGGCTTAGGCTTATTAAGCGAATCGCCGTTGCATTCGTTCAGCTCGGCGCTATTATTGATTTTGTTTGCAAGTCGCTCAACATCAAGTCACTGCTAAAATAAATAAATCTTTCTGGATGGGTTAATGCCGATTATTGTTATTGCACATTCATATTGATGATCCATACGTATGTAACATAAACTTGCAAATTTACTTTGCCAAACACCTCATCAACACATTATTAGCGCATAGTATCAACACTCTTAAATCATTAATGCTTTCTGAGCATTGGCTCGATTCACTCAATGAGCACAAAATTATCAAAACCGAACGACCACAAAAATCGTGGACTTCCATGCATTTTCTCATAATCGAAGACATTTGCTCATTAGCAATCCTGATGTTTTAAAATTTTAAAATTTCGCTAATTGTAAGTTTTTGTTCTTCTCTATTGACACAATCCACATGAAAATGATGGAATTTTCTCAATTACATTAGCAATTATTGGTTTTGGCTCCAACGTCGCACGCACTCAATGATGCCACATGAATTACATGTTTGATTACCAGTATGTTATGAAGCAGTTTTGAGTGCTACGCATAAAAAAACACAATGTGATCATTTCTAATGGGTACCAAACAAAAAATTTTTGAATAATTTCTGGCAACAGCAGCATCAGCATCAGCTCTGAATGGTGATGATACTTAAAGAAGCGAAAAGTATCGTAGCAAAAGTAACGCATCAATTAAGCGTTCTTAACAGATATTTTTTGTGTCATCAATCATTCGCGCAGAACGACGATGGCATCTTGCAATTTTTTGTTGATACAAACAAACCAAAAGTTTAATAGTCGTTCGTAAAGAGGCACATCAACGATGCGATGGAACCAGTTCTTGGGGGGTGGTTAATGAACAACACTTCAATACCTCTCTATTTACCCATCAAGTTAACCGTTTTTCGTTAATGTGCATAATGCGGATGTTAATGTGAACGTGAAATTTGATTCAAATCAACAATTTCGAAAAAATTCAACTCATCCGCGAATTTTAAGAGATTGAATGATGCCAACATAAATCAAATTGAGACATTGTTGAATCAGTTCGCCATTATTATCATTGGTAATAATGTTATTGTTATTTTATTGCTAGTATATTTATTATTATCATATGAAAGAGTATCATTAATGAATGAGTTTGATCGACTGTAATATAATGCATTGCTAGACGGGTCAACGAAACGTCGATATTCGCGAGAATTCTAAACAATACCTCAAAAAAGTTGCACCAATCAATCTAATCATATCTCGTAATTGTCAATGAGGCCAAGTGATCATGAGTGAGACGGAAACAACGCAAAATATAAAGTTTGTTGAACTTAATATCAGTTTTCTTCTGCATGATTCAATTCTGGTTGCTGAACTTCGGCATATTACTTCTACGGATCACTCATTAGCGTCTTGTTCTTAGACGACAGTTTTTCAGTTCCGTTAACTGTAAAGTGCACCTAGCCGATGAAATTTTTCTCTAATTGACTGCATTTTTTCTCACCTTCTTTATTACCACTTTAGAATTGCAAATGTAAACCTTCTTCGTACTATTTTGCAAGAGTAACAGATTTCCGTATTTCATCCAATCTTCGAAGTAAGGCATCTTCAACTGCACTTCGATTAGTCTGAGATGCATACGGATCAAGATCCATGTGCCCGATTATGATCAATTGTTAGATCAAGCAATTGATTGATTGACATGTCGACATAAGAAATTGAACTTTACGAATGCTGTTCAAGGATGACAATATGTTAACGATTGCTTTTATTGTAAACAAAATTTCGAAGAGCGCCGTAAGTACAGAAACTGAGGTTACAACAACTTTGTTGTGGAGCGTACGATTAACTGCGGAGGATCGTTCTCTAACGACGGGTACCATCCTCGAAGAAAACACCACCATCGATTGCGCAATATTTCGGGCAGATGCCCCGTTCGCCTTGTGCTCCCGGTTCGCCTGGCGGTCCAGGGGGCCCAGGTTGTCCATCTGGACCTGGCGCTCCATCGGGGCCAGGTGGTCCTTGTGGTCCTGGTGGACCTGGTAGTCCATCTTTACCGGGTAATCCTGGTGGTCCGGGTGGTCCAGGTGGTCCAGGGTCTCCTGCAAGTGAGTAACGAATGAGACTGATTTGTCACGGAAGATGAAAACACTACTCTGATTGAGATCTATCAAGCAATGTAACATTCATTTTCACTTGCAATTTTAATCTAACAGCACATGTTAGGTCAGAGGTTCAGTGATGTGAAGTTGAAAAATATTGAAATCATACCGGGTTCTCCAGGTTCTCCAGGAGTTAGTGGCTCGTCTGGTGCATCTGGTCCAGGTTCTCCAGGTGGTCCTGGTGGTCCCGGTGGTCCTGGTGGGCCGGGCGGTCCTTGTGGCCCAGGTTCGCCTGGTGCGCCATCTTGTCCAGGATTTCCAGGTGGTCCATCTGGTCCAGGCTCTCCAGGTGGTCCAGGAGGTCCTGGTGGGCCTGGTGGTCCTGGTGGGCATGGTTTGCATGGTGGTGGTGTGACCGGCTCACATGGTTGGCTTGGTGGTCTTCCTGGGTTACCTGGAAGACCTGGTGCTCCTGGTTTTCCTGGTCTGCCTGGCTTGCCAGGTGGACCCTTGGGACCTGGTGGACCTGGGAGACAGCAAGCTTCGCATCCGTTGGCTTGACGGGCCGTACGGTTCTTGGGTAGTGGCATTTGTTTCAGATGATCCACTTCACTCCAAATATCCTTTGCTGATCCCTGAAAGTATGCCGTTAAGTTCAATGATTCGCTTATTGTTTGATGGTCAGCGTGATAATGAATTGACTGCTTCGTTCAGAATGAACCGCTTCAAAAATAAAATGACATTTTGATCGGTAGATTATAATTTGATGGACTAGGATCAACCTGCCCGATAATTGCGATAGTTAAGGAAGATTTAGTATAAAACCATGACTGACCAACGTAATCTTTGGACATTGAAACGCTAAGATAATTAGACACGTCCAGCGATGTCAAAGGTATGATTAGTGAAATGTTCAGTGAACTTGTCAAAGTGATTTGTATGATGTTTGAACATGTTAAAAGTGACGATAACCTTGCAAAAGTTGATTTCATTACTCATCTGTCGTCGAATATGATGCACATAGTTGTAGACCATCGGCAGAGTAACGCATACCGAAAGTACGGCCACAGCCGAGAAGATGACAGCCGAATATGCGACAAAACGATACGCCTTAATACGACTCTCCAGATCCATGATCACTGGAGTGTGCGATGTGAACGAAACGAATATAAGACGTCGAAAATCCAAGTGATGTTCTTAGCACATCGCAGAGGTCTTTTATATTTTGTGGCCGTGGAAGAGGTGCGTGATTTGATGTGTAATATATCTCATCCGAACCAATCATTCGTTTAACACAACAAAGAGACAACGAATCTAGAAAAGGTGACTTTTTCGCACTAAGATGCTTTTTTTGCGCATTCACAATAAATGATTCTTCAAAAGAGTTGCTGGACGGGATGTGAGAAATCTCACTTTACAGTGCACAATCGTGTATTCATTCCACGACAATTCATCGTTCGTTTTGTAACCCAAATCTCTTATTTTGGGTTGATGGAATAATGATGAAATTCGAGTGTTAAAAAAGGTTAGTGGAATGGAGATGATGAGAACGCAAAAATGTATGAAATATAAATTTTGAGTGTGCAATAAAAAACGAACAACACGGATTAATGGTTTATAAAGATATTACATGCATTTAATGTGATTTACCTGTTCCTTGCTTCGCGTTATTTCAGTGCACACGCCGACTGCGATTTTCAAAACGTGCATCAGCAAAGGGTCTCTGGCAAAAAAAACATTTCGAAATTGTGATCAAGTTTTCATCGTCACCTTCATCCGCATCTGTTGTATCCATCAAAACCGAGCGAAATTCTTTTCCACTTGTACGCTCTCAGAAAACTGTCAAAATAAAATCTATAACGTATCTGAGCACTGCTGCAGTATCGGATCGTGAGCAATCAATGAAAAATCTGATAGCAATCTTGAATATGAATACATTTAAGAGCTTCAAAAATAGTTCAAATTTGTTGCATATTCAAATTTAATGTATTGCATATACTTCTCTAATTATTGTAGAAACGCTCTGTGTGAATTTTGTTTCGTTTGATCCAATCGATCAATCTGATTGATGGAGATATTGTCGTGATTCCTTATTCCCTTTGCTTGATCATGAATGTTCCGCGTCTTCACTGGCCTTTGAATCGTAGTATTTAATGGATCATTGATTTACTTGAGTATCACTTAATCAAATCCATATTCGTGCGATAATTTGGAGGTGTTTTTATCGAAAGTAGTTATTGTCACGTTTCTTTTCGGTGATATTTTATGGTTTGAATAAGTTTTCTGCAGACCGCAATTAATATTGTATGCGAACATTTGTTCGATGCTCCAGCAATACACCAATCAATCACGTTAACGTTTCAGTAATTGTTTGTGCCATTTGCGAGTTATACTGAACCTTGAATCAGCACTTGCGGAATCATCTGAATGACAAGTGAAATATAATATTTCAAATATTTTTTAACACTGAATCCTGCTTTTTTTAATTGTCACTGTCATCTTCGTTATTGTCGTTGTTTTTCGTTTAGTAATTGTGGTGTTTTGTTTGCTGACATTTTCAGTTACTGTACAACGTTCCACCTAAGTGTTAGCAACTTTGGAGGTGTCCGCTAACGGTGGTTGATATTGTTCTCGAAGGTTTACTGGTTTTGTCTTTTTTATTGGCTGTTGGTCGGTGGTATGTTCGAGTGATCATATGCTCGTATTGCGGTTACAAATACTTCGAAGATTGATGGGAAATTGTTTTGCAATCAAACTCGATGATACATCTCTCGTTAGAATTGTATGATAGTTAGAATTTGTAACATTCCATATTCCCATTTGCCACTTATACAGGTTGAATGCTCGTTTATGAGTGTTGCAATGGAAACTCTTCAGGTGGTATTAGATCAAAGAATAATGTGCAATATTTTGCTTTGAATAAACAGCTACTGGTGTTCACATACTCGAATGAAACTGTGAACAGGAATCGTTCGATTTTATCAGCTACAATAAAGGACATTTCAGGGCAAATGTTTTTCTTCAATTACAAAATGCGCAATCGATTAAAATTTCTTCGAATCAGCACAAACCATCAGATTTCATAAACCTCATCACATCAGTTCAAAATTGTTTCTGGTTGCTTATTCCGAAAAGAAACACGATCTATTGAATCTTTCAGCATCAGTTATGCTATTCATGACTAACCTGCATGCAGACAGTTCATGAAATGAAGGTTGATTGTGATGCGGAAATTGTTTTGGACTGAATTCGTGTGCACAGTTTTTTGCTTCTCGCTAGAATCGCTCACGTCAACTAAGATTATAATTCATCTAAATGAATGCGAGTCTATTCTTTTGCTCTATTCGAGTTCTCAAACCTATCGACACACAAAAAAGCGCTCAATTCGACTTGCACAAAGTGCTCATTTGCATCGATAATTCACCTCGTGAGCATTTATGATGTATGAATGAAACGATCTGGAAACGGAATAAATGCTGTTTTATAACACTGAATTTTTTGAAAAAAAACCACTACAAACTAACGATACTCATGAAAAGTCGTATCAATCATTCGCATAAATAAATCACAATGTAATTGATCTGTTTACATTCATGTGATGGCTCATTTGCTTCGATTAATCACTTTTTAAAGCGAATCATCAAACAATGAAACGCCAAAGGTATCGTCGACGAAAAAAGTTATTGCTTCAATTCGACGTGCATAGTTGCACCGAAAACGAACGAATACTTTCATTGAAATCGACTTTAGTGATCAGGGCACTCTGCAACATTATTCAACATGAGTGAGCCAGACAGACATCTCGACTGTTGAAAGCTCATCAGAAATTCTATTTTCTGATCGAAAGATAGCCGATAAAGCAATTTTCAGCACGGCATCATGAACCAATATATATATATATATATGAAAGAATCTGTCGAATGAAAACTTTCACATTTTTACATGTATAAGTGAAGTTTCCAGAGAATTTTTTAGATCTATGTAAATCGCACAACTCAGTAGTCACACTGGAACCGGAACGTTCCGCAGCAGGAACAATTGCATTCGAAATTTCATGTGGAGCACACTTAGGACTTGATGAACTTCTAGGAATGGATCAGAATTCAGCTCGCATCTTTGCATCAAACATTTTTTACATTCTATCTGCTAAATATGATCAATCATCCTAACGTATTTATTAACTCACGATCACAAGAAATTAAATCGATGTGCAGTTGTGATGAGTGATACTGATTGCATCAATCGTTTTATTTTTCAACATTCCTTTTCAAAAATAAAAAACTTGTAAAACTACCAAGCAAATGCGGAAGCAAAACGGCGATCAGTTGTATTAACAGTGAAAATGACTTCTCCAGGAACCGGATTTTTGCTGCTTCTATACAACTGCGATAAAAACTAATCAATCACGAGGTCTTGCAGGAAAAAACATAAATCAGAAAGTTGTTTGTAGTAGAATGAAACAATCGAAAAGACGTACTGCAAAAGATGTTCAGTGCTGAAGGCTGTCAAGGGAGGATCATTTGTGAGATCAATACCAAGATAATTTATGATCGAATCATTATTTGCTAGAGAATTCAAGTGATAGCATAAAACTTCATGGTGAACGAGTGGTGAACCATGGGTTCAATTATTTTCAAAGAGAAACCACTGAATCGTGCAGTTTTTTTCCCCAAATGCATCATCGATCCCAAATGGACATTTTAGGTGACACTGACAATACAACAGAAATGTGGGAATTGCTTGAATAAATTATGAATATCTTCATGCAGTCAGTCGTCATTCGTCTGATAGATACCATGATCACATAACTTCTTCATTCCGCATATGAATTCGATCGTTTCCACATCAAAGCAAATAATGAACTGCGTTTATTTCCACATAATTGTATTAGGTGAAAGCACTGCGGTCCTAGAAAAAAGTATGAATGGAGTTGGGAGTGAAGTATTGTGAAACAACGATTCCACTATATGACACAAAAGAATTTTGTACGAAATTTTGTTTTTTTCGTTGAATCATTCACAAAACTTGTTCTGCACCAACTCAACAAATAGTAATATTTCATTATATTTATCATTTCGTGCTATATGTTATATTTCCAAAAATAATGCTATACGGTAATCGATCTTTTTCATCCAAATTACTTCTTGTGCTCAGTTGTTTTTTTAACTTCCTTTCTATGGACTGCTCACCTCGCCACCAAAATTGTCCCGATTGGTTATAAGTGATGCATTTGCATTCATTTCATCTCCAATGCTTCCAATCAGCAATGAGTTACACTTCGTAATTGTCCATGGAACGTCTCACAAACTAATTTTTACAGGTTGTATGCTTACATGCACTACATTTTATATACTATACTGACAATATCTAATACAACGAAAAGTATTTTTGCATGCAACAATCGCTGTATGTTGGCGATAGTATCTCTGCTAATCATTGGGGACATAAAAAGTAATCTGTACTTCTAACTGACCAGGTTCAATTTAAGTGCAAATAAATTTGCAATTCAAACTTCCAACTAATAATTGCAATGAAAATACCGTAAAATCACCAGTTTTCGCATTCAGCAAAATAATTTTCACCTCACTTTTCTGGAGTATGTTGTTGGTTAGTTGGTCAATTTAATTCGGAATTTCGATAATCCGATCAAAATGCCTTCTTCTTGAGACTTTCGTACTTTCCATTTTTTCTTTGGCATTTAATGCTCACAGCAAAGGCGGAATAATTCCAATCGATTCGGTTTGAAGGCTATCAAAAGTGCTCAATGAAAGGTCATCGAAAACTTGATGTGAAGCAGAACAAATGATCAAAATAGGGAATTTGATTAAATTAATGGTGAGACGCGTCGACCTCATAGACTACCGCCGCATCAGTGAAAAAAACCTCTAATTTCTTAAGACTCTTCCGAATGAATTGGTTCTGATTGTGAAACTTTTTTTCTAGAATGATTGGCATACGTTCGGCAAATGAAGGTCATTCGGCTGACATTACAAAAGAAATTGCGACCGCTCTTAGATGCTTTTTCAAATGAAAACCTGAAATCGAAACTGATGGCTTTCAATCGCACTAGTGGCAGATGAATCAATCAGAGTGTTAGCGTGCACTGGCCGGGATAAACGTCACTCAGGTCCAGCTAACTGACTGTACCGTTACCATTATGAAATGTGATTGAAGTCCATCCACTCAAATCAACCTTCGAACATAACCGCCCCAAAATGGTTTGCTCAGTTCAAGGATTTCGATTTTTGCAGTTCAGGACACCTTTTGTCATTCCGATTTTGCGAATGAAAAACTTGATAATTGCTGTTGCTTAGATGCATTTACATGCACGATCAGCGTTCAATAAGAATTGCTGCATTTTGCTCGAAAAGACATCACAATAAACAAGGTGTTTACTTGATTCACAAATCAAAAGTGCCCTTCCTCCCTCCCTCTGTGATCTATAGTAGGCAAATTGCTTGCAGTGAAATCGCATCATTCACAGTGAAATCAGTCAAGTGATGTTGATAAGACTATCATTGAAGCCGATTTTTGTTGAGCTGACTTTAAGATTAATGCTGCTGGCAGTTTGCAGGATGAATGTGAATGAGAGGATGTAAAAAACAGAAGTTTAATGGTAAAACAGAGGCGGCATATTGGTGTGATCAGAACGAGTTGTTGCAAATTGCTATGTTTGAAGAGATGAGTAAATGAATGAATACAAAACGGAATACATAAATAAACGAACAAAGGCAAAGTAACTGTCCATCATACAAAAACAAGTTCCAAGTCATGATAATTTATTGGTGTTCCGTTGTACACGCAAAAACATTCGCAATAAAAATGGCAATTAATCGTACAAACATTGGCAGTAATGTAAACAGTACTGTTCATAAAAAAATTCGTCGTTCCTCCGGCACTCGTCAAGATCTTCCTTCCTTCCACAATTACTGTTCAGCTCAAATCTAACCTAACGACGAGTTCCATCCTCGAAGAAGACACCACCGTCAATGGCGCAGTACTTCGGACAGATACCTTTCTCGCCTTGAGCACCTGCTGGTCCTGGTGGCCCTGGTGGTCCAGGTTGTCCATCCGGTCCAGGTGCACCGTCTGGTCCATTCGGTCCCTTCGGTCCAGGAGGACCCGGAATACCATCAGCGCCAGGTGCTCCAGGCGGCCCGGGTGGTCCTGGTGGTCCTGCGTCGCCTGAAGGACAGATCAGATCATTTTCAAATATGAAGATAAAATGATTGACACAAGACGGACAACTTAGTGTGACGACCTTGAGCCCAGAAATTCTTTTGATGTAATGTTGAAATTGTCAGGACGAAATCTTCAAAATACGTACTGTCGCACTACCTATCAATTACAACCAATTATCCTATGATAAGCACTTCTCTTATGGCGTTGTTTACTCTTCATCACAAAACAACTCAAATTCTTGTTTTCATGTTGAATGTATTAACGGAACAATGCATTTCAAAAGTTAACTGTATGTTCCAAGCAACTCTGATGATGGAATTTGGGTAATTAGTTTAATTTAAACGATGCTCGAATTGATCATGTTCGAGTTCTAGTTCAGACTAAAAGAGGATGCCTCTTGCATTCATATGAATAAAGCATCAGCAAGAGAGTGAATGCTCGATGTTGTTCGAATGGCTCAAGCATTTTCGAAGAAACTTGATGAAAGTCCATCTGAAGAGCATTGAAATTCAAAATTTACAATTTTTGAACGAGCATGATCAAGATTCAATCTCTCCGAATAACAAGCAGTCAAACTAACCAGGCTCTCCGGGTTCGCCGGGTACGAGTGGTTCATTAGGTGCATCGGGTCCTGGTTCACCGGGCGGTCCCATTGGTCCAGGCTCACCAGGTGGGCCAGGTGGTCCTTTGGGGCCAGGTTCTCCTGGTGCTCCGTCCATACCGGGATTACCTGGTGGTCCGTCTGGTCCCACATCTCCGGGTGGACCTGGTGGACCTGGTGGACCGGGTGGTCCCTGTGGGCATGGCTTGCATGGTGGTGGTGTGATTGGTTCACAAGGTTGGCTTGGTGGTCTACCTGGGTTACCAGGCATACCTGGTGCACCAGGTTTTCCGGGTCTTCCTGGTTTTCCAGGTGGACCCTTGGGACCGGGTGGGCCAGGTAAGCAACATTCACTGCATGACGATGCACCTTGTGATGAACCAGCCGATTCTACACCTGCGTCGTAACCAGCCTGACGACGTGTCCTGTTGTTGGCATTCAGTGGAATCTTCTTGAGGTAACCAACTTCGGCCCAAATATCCTTCGCTGAGCCCTGCAGTGGGAATGAATCAGATGCATGCACAATATCATATAAACTAGCAAAACATTGTTTGAAATGCAATTCGCTCGATAAAAATGCTATCAGATCATGTTATTTGCTTGTCAATTTGGAAACCATTTCGTTCATTTCTCATCATTAATGAGAAATTAATGAGAAATTTTTTAATTATTCATGAATTTCCTTTAGCAATCACCCATATAGGCCGTTTGCAAATCACTGAATTACCATCTTCTTCATTCATATGTATAGAAAATTTCTCATTTCTGTTCTAATGATATTACTTTCATCTTTTATATTACTTTCTTATATTAAAGTACATGAAGGACATGATTCTCAACCAATCAAACGCAGTGAATGAATTCATTCAATTTGCGTAATAACTTCCTCCTCTATTCACAACGCTTTCATCAATTCATAATACTTGATATCCAGCTGTGGACTGGTATCGCAAATGACTTAGAGAGGGGATATCGTCTTCGCATGAATGGAACATCGCAAGAAGGATTATCGACAGCAATAAAAAAACCGGATTGCTAATCAAAGAAAGACGTTGTTATTATTGTCATCCGCAGTGGCGACTATTTGCATGATTCCAATAAATGAGCTTTTCTCATTGCTTTTGTATGATCCTCATGGAATGTGATTTAAAAACTATTGACAGCACAACATAAAATCGTGTGCACAACGATCAAATCAGAGTTATTCGAATGATCCTTGAGAAAGAGTTTCGACATACTCACAAAATCTAAAATTTTTGTCACATCATGATCGCGCATCCCTACTGGGAAATAAGCTCATTAGTGGAATGCATTACACGAAATAATAACAGGCAATAGAATTTGTTTCAACTGAGCATTTGCGTGATTTCAGTTTGCAAATGTTGCACGAAACGACGGCCTAATGCTACCGAAACCGCGCATTACTTTCCAATCATTTAATTTCCCAACTAAACAGAGATCTCTTCTTGAAAATCAACAAAAAAATCTCACATAAACTTCACCGAGTGAAACCTAAGTCAATGTGCAGTCAGTCTACTTCCTGACTACAGTCGGGTACTGCATGCGAAGTGGGCAAATCTGATGCTTTCAGTGAAATAACTCATTGAGCATTTTCAGAAGGATCCAAATTGAACAGTTGATGGAAGAGATACGATATTCAAAATTGCTGTTGTGCAAAATGCTTACAAATGGATCCATATCATTTTGAAAGATGATCAAGATTTGATCTGCTGTGATCACTGATGAAATCTTAATTTTCTGTGACGTTGTTGCTCATTCGATGCTTTTTTCAGCGTTCATGTCAACGTTTTCAAGCCCAACTATACCGAGAAAAAGCTCATATCAAGAGATAATTCAGTTCAGCTCATGGCCGAATACGGAACTGCATGAATTCCTCATTAAAACTGAACATTCAGACAAAGTGGAAATGTCGCTGAGCACATTATTCACCATATCATTAGTCTAGAATATGAAGTATCGAAAATTGTTTCTGCAAAAAAATGTCTCTTGTAATCACGGAATGACAAAGCGGTAATAAAGAATCTAATTTTAAATTATTGTCAAGTAATTTCTGTGGAAAAGATAATTGCTTTTGCATATTATTCGCTGCGATTACGGCTGACAGCTGAAATGTGTCTACGTTTCTATAAGAGTACTACTTCACAAATTATTCATTCATTCGTTGAATGCACTTCATAATAAGATCTGTTCGTTGAGTAATCTGGTTTTCGCCTAATGATGATGATGATGATATGGCCAAAATTATGACTACTCATTGCAATTTTCAAGAATGATTTTGCAATGCACGAAAAACAAATTCCTGTGGCAATCATTTGTGGACGATGGAAATTATCTCTCGTAAAATTTGCATCTAAATAAATTTGGATAGAGAATTATTGCCACTTTTTGAAGAGTTGGTAAATTCTAGTGATTTATTCAAATGACCTTTATGATAACATAATATTCCTATCACGGTTAGTCGTAAATCCGTTTCATCAATTTGTCCTGATCAAAGATGGACAGTAGCGCGCTATTCTGCTGCTTCGCTACTTGTCGTTAGCAAAACTCAGCGAAATAGCGGAATAACCACTTCGCTGACAGTGGAGTAGTTATTCCGCTATTTTTCTAACAATGATAACTTTCGAGCATATCTGAAATGATATTCGAGCAAAATGCTTACAAATGGATCATTTTGTGGATGATGATTAAAATTTTTGAGATCATCAAAATTTGATCTGTTGTGATCATTGATGAAATCTTAATTTTCTGTGACGTTGTTGCTTGAAATCTGATATCGGTTATAATGCAACAAAACAACGATAAACGTGATGCCGTGAACATCGAAATTAACGGTGATAAGAGCAGATAGACTGCATTTATGTGAAAAAACATCACGTTCACCGATGATGACAGTAATCGGTTGAAGTGAACCGTAATGATTACCTTACAAAAGTTGATTTCATTATTCATCGTCCGACGCACTTGATGCACGTAGTTGTAGACCATTGGCAGTGTGATACATACGGACAATACGGCAACTGCTGAGAATGTTACGGCTGAATAAGCCACAAATTTGTACGCTTTGATACGACCCTCCAAATCCATTCTGATGCTGCGGCTTGTCTGAGAAGAGAATGGCTCGTAGACGAATGGTTGACGGAAGAGTCTCGTCTCGTGTTGTGGCTGATCAACTGAAACTGTTNCGTGATCAGAAGACAGATACCGATCGATCGCACTGATCTGAGCAAACTGATGGCTGGATGTGATGCTGAGACGAATCGACCAATCGCTTTTATATGTGAACGAAGAAGATACCGGATGAGTGAATGAGGATGAAGAAACTCCTCATTGGTCCTCTGAGGCCATCATGCGGCTCCCTCCCTGTTGTATGATCCTCTCATAACTCGCACTATATTACAGCCTCCTTTTACCATTCAAAAGGCACTGTCCCATATCGAAAATCGAACCTCTCTTATTTTCAGTGTATTCTGTTCATCACGAATCTTTTTCGTCGCCCATGGATCACTCATTTTTTGTGTGATGCGATCATCATTACTTGGCATCCTCATTTTCATGCACTGTCATGCATCAGATTATCAAAACTCAAAACTCATTCAAATCTGTAACACTAAATCTACAAATCTGTCCACTCTTTTTCATGCTCCTCAACGACGCATGCACGTCGATCAGTACACTTTCCTCATAAATTCCTTGGTTATTGCCTCGTTTCTTTTTATTATTATTGTTATTATTATAATTTAATTGTGGTTTTTCTTCATGTTCCATTCAATGGCTGCTTCATATTTCACGGTATCCACATTGCTCATCTTCTAGATTCCTTGCAATCTCATTTGGTTCATTTCTTTGCGATTCTTCAACTTGATTTGAGCTCTATCGCATCTTATCTGTTACAATTTCCTCATTGGTTGTGTCCTCGATGTATTCCTACGTTTCCCCTCTACAAAAGCAAAGAAACCAAAAAAACAACCCATCAAACAATGAATGCAATTAAACTCATTCGGCTAAAATATCTCTAATGTGTCATTTGAGAATCATGAAATCTATCTGCCAGTGGTCGAGTGATCAATTGAAAGTTGTTACCAATCAGACTTGAGTGATTTCAATCGTATCATTTGATACTCTTCAAAAACTCTCAACAACTTCCAAATAATCAATCGCGCATTCCATTTCTCCGAGCAACGAGTTGAAACGAAATACTTTAGCATGTCGTCACACATTAAGACACCAAAAAATGGTTCATAAAAGTGCAATGCGATTAATTGAACAATGAATTTTTATTTGCTTTTTTTGTAATGTAACATCCTGGAATGTGCTTTTGCATTTTGCAATTTGCATTTTGATCGCGTTAAGAAATCTGAAATTTCGTTCATCATCAAACGATCGCCGAGTTGATGCGATTTGACGCAGAAATCATGTCTGATTAAGTGTCTTCTCTTGGTTCACCTCATTTCCAACCGGAGTGCATCCTTTTTCGAGATTGTTCCATTGTTTATGGAGCAATTCTATAAATATTATTCTTGATGAGACGATTATCAATTTGTTCACTTCATTTTTTTAAATGCAAATGAGAAACCTTTTCAAAATCGCGAACAATCAATATTTCGATCGACAAAAGAGAACATTAATGTTCGTATGGAATGATTGAGTCGGTAACTGGGACAAAACCTAGAATATGGCAAAAATTCCATTGTGGAAGGAACAATTGCATTGTGGAACAAGGAGATACCTATCGATGGAAAACAAGAATCTTTGCAAAATTGAAGTCAAATTGTATTATAGCGTGATTGTTGCAATTTTTTCACTTAGCAATTGAACTGCTCTCAATGAAATTCTTATGAAAAGATTGACTTATCGACTGTTTCAATCATAAATATGAAAATTAATGCTGATAAGTGGTCAAATTATCGAATCGATGTTCTGAATTCCATTTGATCACTATGAAATGTTATTATGTGGAGGATTTTCAGTTTCTCTTTCAAATTTTAGTTTCCCAAAATTGCATTCCACCGAAATTGTGACCTGAACGATTGAGTTGTTCTGATTTTTTTGCAGTCATTTCTGAAGATTTCAGAAGAACGTTCCACTTGACGATTGTTGGTCACTCGAAATCGCAGACTTTATGGAGAGAACAGTTGACGAGGTTGATTGCACTCAATATGAATATGAATGACCATCGATTTGGTCACGTCTCATTTTTGCTGTCATCTTCATCTCAACAAGCAATGAAGAATGTTCACTTAAAAAGCACTGCAAATAAACGAACGATTTTGTGATGAATTTTATCGATAGATTCATATTGCGATGAATTTAGTTCAAAAACTGTTCGCTGATCCGATGCAGTTCGTTGAAGGTTGAAATGTTTGCTGTATTAACATAAATCTTAGGTTTATGAGCATTTTGAATGAGCTTTTTAATTGACTTGCTTGAGTTATTCTTGTTTTTGTGCATCGAATGCTAAATGATCTGCGTGCAATTCATTGTTTAATATGATTCACAGTTTGATGAAATCAACAAGTACATGTTCGCGAATATCAATGATAAATAAGTTTCATCAAATGAGTACAGTAAGAGGCATGATAAGCGAAAATTAGAGCAGATGGATGATTCCTTCACTGCCTCTTGCTAGAACAAGCTTTTGCGGGTAAATTGTCTGACTCATAAATGTGAAATTTTTGAATGAATGTGCCAATAACATGCAGAGTTTTCTCTCGTTACAGTTATTTGACCAACTTCTATGAGTTATTTGCGTTCCACTCACCGTTATGATAAACAATTTCAGAAATTTCAAGCCATGAACATTATCAAGGGACGTTCAAGAAATGTTAGTTGTCGTAGGGATGGATGCATATGGCTATAATAAGTTATTTGAGTCGCATTGTTGGTTTTATTATCGTTTTTATTATTGCTTTTTTATGTTACCATAGTTATCGTTATTCCTTGAATTGCCATTGAGTTCTTTGATTATTCACATAATTGTTGGTTATATTAGATTGATGTTAATGTAATAATAATGATTGTATTATTACAGTGAGCATTTCAATAGCCATTCGAATTTAGAGTTCTATCCTCATGGTCATTGTTATGGTATTATTATTATTATTGTTGCCACAACTTGATTATTTCTCAGACTTTTACATTTCTTATTATTTTTGTTGCCACTTGTTGCCTGGAAACTAATTTTGTGCGGAATTTCTCAAAACGTTACCTCTGCTTCAATGAATGATACTCTGCAGAAGAATAACTACTCAAAAGCAGACACCACAATAACGCTTTGTGCAGCAAACGATACCTCTTCAATCGAGCATCGATGAAATGAACTATGCAATGAGAATGGTGCATTTATTTCAGCACTAACCGATCGAGTCAAAAAATTCAGAAAATTCAGAAGAAAATTTGAATGTAGGATGCCTTCGAACAGAATCAATCGTTTGGTTGACACTAATTATTGTGGTTGTGGAAAAAAAGAATTAATTGGTTGAGGTGATGAATTCCTGACAAATCATTGAGGGAACGAGAGGGAACTGTCAAATTAACATCGTTACCAAACGACATTTTACGAACAAATAGATTTGGTCGGTTGATAACCATCGTTGAGAGGAGTGATAGCTGCTGCTGCAAAACTGGCTCAATTATGAAATTCAAAGCAATTGTTGAATTATTTTTAGTGGTCATTATGAAACTGAGAAGGTATATCCCAAACCAGATTGTCGTTAGTGATTCGGTAAGAATGTAAGACAATTAATGGTAATGACCCTTCATTTTATTTATTTGATCAAGTGCATAATGATCATCGCATTCGTGTTGTTGACTGACCAATAGAGTCTACCTCAACACTCGTGATCGATTGTTTCACTCAAGTTTCCGAGTGAATTTAACACTTCTCAATGCAATTCCGGAATCACGCCATCCGAATTTTCATTGTACGAATGAATACGATGAAATTTTCATCAACTCAGAAATTTTGGGTGCAGCAATAATAATAACAATACTAATAATATAAACAATAATAATAAAAATAATAATTATTATTATAACAATAATAATAACAACATTAATAACAACATTAATGGCAACAACAATAATAATAATGATAATAACAATAACAATGACAATAATAATAACAAATGGTAATAATAGTATTTTTGGTAATACTACTGGGAAAATCCCTCCGGTTCTTGCCATCGAAACACGTGCATTTGAGTAATAACGGAAACATAAAATATGCTTTTTTATTTTCATGAGACTTACGCATTGCATTCGAGCACTACGTATCAGTTGCATGATACAACTTGTATCATATAAACGTACACAATAACTTAATAATGATAATGGTTTATGAGCTTTAATACGTTCATTGCAATCATTCACTTGACTATTTCAATGAACAACGTGGACAGAACAGGAAGCAACGATTGTTATTATAGCTGGTAAAACAGATAGCATTTATTTAGCAGTTGAAGAGGTAGCACTAAATGATGAAGCTGAAAAAACCGAGTGATTCAGTCCTAGGTGATGTCAATTCTCCGGATCTTCTGGATTGCTTTCGTTAACATTACCATTGCATATGGGAATCGCATAGCTTACGTCCAGATCTTGTTAGCACGTTCAAGATGGTGTACAACATCGCTGGACTTCCTCTTAGATCATTGCGTTCCTCAGTATTGCAGTCGATCATGATTGCATGGAAGGCTATTGTCTATGACACTTCGAACTGTTTTGCATGATTCTCATTCTTTTCAGACGTGTTGTATTCGCTCTCATAGCTATCACATGCGAATATCGTTCTATTGATTTGTTTTTATCATTCTCTTCGACTCATTTCACTTCACAGTTCGAATCA